TCCTTGGAAACCCTATACAGGGGTTACGAATTGGGCTGCTAACCTCAAGGTCAGCAGTTTGAAACTACCAGCTTTCCCGTGGAAGAAAGATGAGGCTTTCTGCTCCTGTAAAGATCTGCAACCTTGGAAACACTGTGTAGGGTCACTATGAGTTGGAACACTATAAGTTGGAACACTATGAGTCGGAGACTCCATGGTACTTAACAACAAATCAACATGGGTCAAAACCGACTCAATGGCACTTAACAGCAACAACAAAAAGATGCAGAAATATAGGAGTGGTAAAGGAAAACTTGTAGGCTGAGAGAACAAAGGTACTTAAAACAACTAAAGGGCATCAGGCACCAAAACTGACTTGAGAACTTGGGGAACAAATGGAAAGAGATTGTTAATAAAAAATCTCCCTCAGTTGCTTATAGAAAGTTGGAGAGAGGGACTGTGATATAGTGAATTGACTTACTATGTCTCTTCTAGTCATGGTCATTGCAACTCTACAAAATGATTGTGTTGTTGTTAAGTGTCATTGAGTTGGTTCCGAACCATAGCAACCATATATAGGGTTTCCAAAGAGCAGCTGGTGAGCTTGAACTGCTGATTTTGCAGTTCAAAAGACTTTGCAGTTCAAATGCCATTAGCCCACAGCGGTAGAACTATGTAAATAGGGTGTGTGGGACTCACGTGGGGATTAGTGAGTTTTGCCATCCCACTAGGTTTACAAGGAGCCATCTCAGAACCAGAAACAGACAAACCCAGGAGCAGCACAAGACAAGAATCATGAGTAGAACATGAGATCTCTGTGAGGAAAAGCAGGAGAAGCGGTAGAGATGGCATTAGAGGCAGTGGCATGTAGAGACGACGCAGCAGGATTCCAGCCTCATGAACCAAGTAAAACTGACTGCCTTCATGCAGGAAAATGACTTGTGGAATTAGATGCCATTTGGTCATTTATCAGCAGTACTAAAGAAGCTGGTAACATTTGCCCAGGTAAAGCAGAAGCCAAAGGGCACACATAGCTGAGAGGCTAAGGATGAGAAAAAGGTACGCTGTGTTCTCAAGCAGAGCTGAGAATAAACATTCTTAACAAGAGAACTGCTGTATCCTCAGTTGTTTCTGATCCTGAATTATTCCTAGCTAACGTCCCTGTTGTTGTTGTCAAGTCGATTGTTGTTGTCAAGTGCCGTCAAGTCGATTCCAACCCGTGCGACCCTGTATAGGGTTTTCAAGGAGCAGCTGGTGAGCTTGAACCACCGACCTTGCAGTGCAAATGATTTTGCAGTCTGACACATTAGCCCATAGCACCACACCAGGACTCAGTTAATGTCCCTAGGAAACTCCATAATCATGTGTCTTGTGATTTCAATGGATTATCAACCCAGCAGCGATGTAGAGTGCTGTGGGATGGAAGGTTGGCATCAGAATAAGGTAAAGAAGGTTGGAGGATGGAGGCATGTCTGACCTTTGCCTCATAGGAATTGGACTTGGGCTGACATGAATTTTCCTTCCCTCTTCTGAAGTTGGGGGAGGTCAGATACTGTCCTTATGTCCTTTTTGCAGAGACTAATTTTAATGAAATGAACACTAAAATACTAATTAAATGTTTTAGTAGAAAATTATTACTGCTATAAAAATAAGAGCAAATATTAAAATTCTCAATAAATACCACTTACAGAACCAACCCAAAATCCACTGTCATCGAGTCAATTCTGGTTTATAGGAACCGTATGTAGGGTGGTGCTGCAGGACAGTGCACTAGACCACGAGGTCGGTTTGAATTGCAAGGTCAGCAGTTCAAACTCACCAGCAGCTCCTCAGAAACCCTATACAGGGTCATTATAAGTTGGAACTGACTCGATGGCACTTAACAACACAACAATAATATAGAGTTTGCTGTTGTTGTTAAGTGCCGTTGAGTCGATTCCAACCCACAGCGACCCTGTGTAGCGTTTCCAAGGAGCAGCTGGTGAGCTTGAACCACCCACGCTGCAGTTCAATTGACTTTGCCATCTATCGCATTAGCCCACAGTGCCATACCAGGACTCCAATATGGAGTTTAGAAGATTTTTGAATCTTCACGGCGCAAACAGCCTCATCTTTCTGCCATGGTGGATTTGCACTGTCAGCCTTGGGGTTAGCAGCCCAACACCTAACCCACAGTGCTCCCATAGCTCCTTGCAATATGCCTATAGTAAAAATCTACTTAGGTTCTAACAGGGCAGATATTATACCTACAAAAATTAATTGGGTGACGTTTCTGCTCTTAAGGAA